GGTTTACGCATTTCTTTCAAAAAAGGTTTTTTTTCCCATGTCCAGACTACTTTCACTTTCAAAAGATCCTCTTTCGAAAGTGAGATCGGATGAAAATATACAAATTACCACGGAATTTGCATATCCTCTTTCGAAAAAACCCATAGTTTAGACGTGCCCGACTTGTGCTAATCCCAGCACAGCCCAGACCGGGACCTTCCCCCAGGGAGGGGCCCTGAAGCTGTGTGGGAAAGAGGTCACCAACTCCACTGGACCGAATGGCTCAGACCCCTTGTACTGGAGTGATGTCCAGTCCGTCTGGTTCAGGAGAGTTGACAACGGGGAGGAGGGCCAGGAGGGAGGCGCAGGCCGGAGGAGCAGCAGGCGGCCGTCCAGCCGGCTGGAAAGAAGTGATGCTTTTAGAGGGAAAGTGCCACCTCCTTTTAATGGCTCCCAGTGTGGCTGCCCCCTGCTCAGTCCTCCAGCCCGTGAGGGCTGCTCACCTCTGCCTGGTGAAATTGGGCTGGGTGCTGAGCCCTGTGGAGCCAGTTGAGGATGGCGTGGAGGTGGTCGGACCAGTGCTGAGTCAGTCAGTGGATGGGGCTGGAGGAGGTGGGACTGGTGCTGAGCCAAGGGGGTGGCCGGAGGATGTGGGTGGGGGTGGACAGACATGGAGAGGGCTGGGAGCGGCCGTACTCCATAGGCAGCAGCACATGTCTGCACAGGGCACCATGACATTTGGGACAATTGGGTGCCCCAGATTTCCTGGTGCCCTACGGGCTGTGTGTTCTGCCTGTGGGTGGGGATGGCCCGGGAGGTGGAGATGGGCGCCTGACTGGCTGAGGAAACTGGAGCAGGATTTCTAAACTGAAATAGTTCGGTTTGCCGGCCACGAGCTGCAATTTGCCGTGGGAAGCAGACCCGTGCTGGGAAAAGCTTTGTTTAGTCAGAAAGCCAATTTTCTGCTGAAAGCCAGGTTGGTTGCCAAACCTGCAGCCAGTCCTAACTGTTCTAGAGCTTTTATCAGGGGAGGGGCAGTGTACAAAGCAAGGGGATAGTCCTGGCAGGTCACTGACACTAGCTGAGTTTCTTGCTGGGTAGAGGGTTCCAGGAGCAAGCCCTGTATTGCTACTGTGGGGAATGTTGGTGTTTGAAGAGAACTGGGAAGCTGACCATAGTCCCAGCCAAACATACTGAGGAATTGGGAAAATGTTTGATTTGCCTTGCTCACGACACTACTTGCATCATAACTGGCGTTCTCAGGGGCTGTGTCTAGATTGGCCAGTTTTTCTGGAAAATCAGCCACTTTTCCGGAAAAACTTGCCAGCTGTCTACACTGGCCACTTGAATTTCCACAAAAGCACTGACGATCTCATGTAAGATTGTCGGTGTTTTTGCGGAAATACGATGCTGCTCCTGTTCGGGCAAAAGTCTCCTTTGCTCAAAGCTTTTGTGCAAAAGGGCCAGTGTAGACAGCTCAGATTTGTTTTCCGCAAAAAAGCCCCGATCGTGAAAATGGTGATCGGGGCTTTTTTGAGGAAAAGTGCGTCTAGATTGGCACGGATGCCAATCTAGACTCTCTGTTCCGAAAATGCTTTTAACGGAAATCTTTTCTGTTAAAAGCATTTGCGGAAAATCCTGCCAGTCTAGATGTAGCCACTGAGTTAAATGTTTGATTTGCCTTGCTCACAACACTATTTGCATCGTAACTGGAGTTCTCAGGGAGCGTCAAGAGTCAGCCTGAGGCCCATGCCCTCCTGAAGTTCCACCGAATCCCTCAAAATTGGACTTTGCTTCCTGTCTGCATGTTGTTAATATCAGCCCTGTTAGTCTCCACAGTACTCTGCATACAATGGGGAAGTATTGTCACAATATTACACCTGGGGAAAATGAGGCAGAGAAGTTGCAGAACTTGACCAGGGCCAGGCAGTGAATCCGTGGCAGAGCTAATATTAGACTGCAGGAGATGCCCTAGCTTCCTATTCCACTTTTTCAAGTAATGGGAATAACACAGCAAGCAGGGTTATTTTTACAACCTCTCCCCACCCCCCGCCTTGTCACCACAGATTAACTAAAGTGCCTGAATACATTTGTATATATGGAGACAGGCACCCTTTCTGAATTGGACAGAGACTGTCAGTTGACATTTTGATCATTCATGTGTGGAGTGAGAACTTGCTGTGTTGGCAGCATCTTGCAGAACTTCTATGCTCACAGTGCACTAATCAGGGAATTACACGCTGTGTGTACTGAGGCAAGGATCATCTCTTTTGCTGGCTATCTGAGAATCTCTTTTATAATGTTCCCTATCCCAAGGGGAGGGAAGCAGAACTCAGCTGAGCATGCTGAGAGGCAAATTTTGCAGATATCAGGCCAGTTCCTCCTTTTTTAACATAGCTCCTTTGTCTTCAATGAAGATACATTGATTTACACCATCTGGCTCTTACTCTGGGATTACTGCTTTCATTTGCTTGTAAACCTGGACTAAATTCAGATCTCATTCTTGTCAGCACAAAGCCAGACTGACTGCTGATTGCAGGGGGAGAGGGACGAAGGTTAACTTTGGACTTATGTTGGTGAATCGGAGAGTAAAAACTTTCCTTCATTCATCTGCTGCATTCAATTCTTGTGGTGAATTCTGCTGAGAAGCTAGAAGATGTGGGTGTGTTTGGTATATTTATTCCTTAGCCATAACCGTATTATTTTAAGAGAGCAAAGAGGCCACTCTGGCTGGCGAGGTCTCTTATAAAATAATTGGAGTTGGACTCCTGCTGTAAAAATTGGATCTGGTTTGGTTTTGGCTTCAGTGCATGATAGAAAGTAGAGTATTTGTGAAAGAATGTAGATTTCAGCCCACCCAAGCAGGGTTAAAATATTTGGAATTAGACTTTTGGTTCAAGCTCATGTCCAAAACAGGCTGTCTCTGAGGGCACATGCCAGGCGAAAGCAAATGGATCAGGCATGCTATTCAGTTTAGATAATAGCATTTCCCTTCTGGCTCAAGCTGTCAGCCAGAGGTCAGGACTTTGCAGGATTGTTTCCAATAGGATGAGAAATCTCTGCTGCAAGTCAAATCTACTCTTGGTGTCATCTTGTGTAGCTACAAGAAACGTGCACAAAATCCCATCTCCCTGGAAACATTAGAAACAAACAGCAGTTGGTAGTTTCCTTGCTCAGAAATTCCCAAGTCTGCCACTTTAATGAGCTCTGTGCCCAAGAAGGTCAGTCCTACTGCTACCTCTCAGAGCCACATTTGCAACTGCCCCGCCAGGCTTTCTGCTCCAACACACGCAATCTGCTGCCCTGGGTATGGAGTCAGGGAATTCCTTCAGTCCACACGGCTTAGCTCTAACCTGGAATGTAGCCTAGCGCCCTGGACAGCGTGCCCCACCAGTCATTATTCCCTATAGCATAGGTTCCCAAACTGGGGGGTGCGCCCCTGGGGGGGAGTGAAGAAATTCCAGGGGAGCGCGAGGCGACCCATCAGTCCCTCCCCACAAGAAAGAGCCTGTGGCTTTTATTCCAGAATAGTTACTGCTCTTTGGAAATGCCGTAATTACACTGGAATGAAGTGATTCCCGAAAACACTGTCCCTCTGGGGAGTTACTCGGGAATAGTTTTTGCAAAAGAGTGTATTCTTCAATAGCTATTCTGGTCAGTTTCCTTGTGCATGACTAGCCCTCAGCTCTCAGCTATCAGCTCCAGCTACCACAGTACTGCAGTCCATTCTGATAGGCTGTGTCTACATTGGCACCCTTTTCCGGAAAAGGGATGCTAATGAGACCAGTCGGAATTGCAAATGCCGCGGGGGATTTAAATATCCCCCGCGGCATTTGCATGAACATGGCTGCCGCTTTTTTCCGGCTCAGGGTTTTTTTTTCCGGCTCGGGGCTTTGCCGGAGAAAAGCGCCAGTCTAGACGGGATCTTTCGGAAAATAAACCCTTTTCTGCAAGATCCCTTATTCCTCTTAAAATCAGGAATAAGGGATCTTCCGGAAATGGCTTTATTTTCTGAAAGATCCCATCTAGACTGGCGCTTTTCTCCAGCAAAGCCCCTAGCCGGAAAAAAGCGGCAGCCATGTTCATGCAGATGCCGCGGGGGATATTTAAATCCCCCGCGGCATTTGCAATTCTGACTGGTCTCATTAGCATCCCTTTTCCGGAGGAGGGTGCCAATGTAGACACAGCCCTCATGTGTTATCAGAAAGATATGGACAAACTGACGAGTTCAGAGAAGAATCAAGGCTATAAACAATGGATTTATGAGGAATATCTAAGAAGAGCTAAAATCTAGTAAGTCCTGTGACACTTTTGACACAAATATAGATTTGACACAAATTGTGAAGAAGTGGGTTTTGCCCACGAAAGCTCATTATACTATATATATTTGAGTGTATTTTGAAATAGCTTATTTTGTAATTTGGCGTTGTCCACACAGTGCCAAATTTTGAAATAACTCGCTATTCCGAAATGCCCCTTAGCCCTCATAGAACGAGGGTTGTCAGAATAAGCCGCCCATTATTTCAAAATCTATTTTGAAATAACGGGCTGCTTCCAAAGATGCAGAATAGCTATTTTGGGATACTTCCAGTATCCTGAAATAGCTCCGCATTGGTGACATGCCCTCAGGTGCTACAGGACTGCTTGTTTTTAAAGTTGCAGACTAGCATGGCTCCCCCTCTGAGCCTTTAGAAAAGCTAAGTATATATTGCTGCTAATGGACTATTTCAGAGCTGTCTCTCAAGGGAATGTCTCGTTTTATTTTTATTGGTCATATCAAGAACTTTTAGGATCTCTCTCTCTCTCGCACACGCACACACACACAGCATTTTTTAACAGCTAAGTTTATGTCTACTCACTGTATTCAAACAACATGTGGACAACATGAAAAGGTGCCCAGCATGCAGCGAAGAACAGCACTACAATAACCATCATCATCACAGCTCGTTTCTTCTTCCTGGAGGAAGCCGTTTGAGACAGAGAGCAAGAGCTGACAAAGAGACATTTACAGCAGGAGGCAAGCAGAAATTCCATTTGAAGTGAGAGAAATAGGCTAGTTGCATTCAGATGCCAGGAGGGTTAAAAGCATTCACTGTAAAACATTCACTTTCCTGATAAAAGGACAAGAGGACGGTACATGAAACCAAAAGAAGGCCAATAAAAAATTACCCCACCAAACTAATAAAAGAAAACACTTTCCCCCCCACACACAATGTGAAATTAAGCTGTGGAACTCACCGCCACAAGGCCTCTGAAGTAGCCAGAATTCTGAAGCAGATTGACCACTGGTCAAACCTTAGTATGGCCAGGCCTGCTGATAGGGGGAGGCAAAGGGGGCTACGGCTCAGGGGCCCAGTGATTCAAAGGGGCCCGGGGCTCCCAGCCATCACTTCTGCTACTGTGGTAGTGGTGGTGGTCAGAGCTCCACCACCACCACAGCGCTGGGTGGCGCAGTCTGAACGGTGCAGAGGGCTGGCTGCTCTGGCCCCACCCCTTCTGCCTGAGGCCCCGCCTCTCCCATGAGTGTGGAACCAGGCACTCCCCCCCCTTGCCCAGGGGCCAGGTGAGTCTGAGTATGGCAATTCTTGTGACCACATCACAACCATGTTCTGACCCTTACACCAGCCTGCTTACCCCTCTTCATTGGCCAGGAGATGGATACGTGTTCTAGAAGGGTTGGGTAAAGCCCACAAGGTTTGTAGCTTTGCTTCTAGTTGGATAAGCAGAAATCTCAGGGGCCCAATTCTGCTCTTATTGACTCTGATGAAAATCTGGGGGTATCCACGGAAGCTCTTCGAGTTACACGGATGCAAAATGTGTGTTGGCAAAGAGACCGGTGTTTATTTGGGCCTTACCAGACTTGTTTTCTAGAAGGGTTGGGTAAAGCCCACAAGGTTTGTAGCTTTGCTTCTAGTTGGATAAGCAGAAATCTCAGGGGCCCAATTCTGCTCTTATTGACTCTGATGAAAATCTGGGGGTATCCACGGAAGCTCTTCGAGTTACACGGATGCAAAATGTGTGTTGGCAAAGAGACCGGTGTTTATTTGGGCCTTACCAGACTTGTTGAGCTCTGGATGCTTCCTTCTTGGGATGCTCCAAACATCCTCCCTCGCTCTAACAGCTCTTTGCATCTCCCTGTTTCTTCAGGGGTACCTGGTTGGGCCTGAATAACTAGCTGCATCAGTGCCCACTAGCAATACCCAGGATAATCTGCTCTCCATTTGACTGTGCTGCTTTTATCCTCTCCCTTAGAGCCTCACTCTGTGGGTCCCTGGAAAAGGGTGGGAGTTTGAACCTGACCCGGGAAAAAGTCTCACAGGGGCGGTACAAATTGCAGCCAAAATTCTGGGGACTGTCCTTTGGTTGGAGCTTCCCAACAGCCGTGGGACTTAAGTGTCAGTTTGAGAAACCGAGACATAGAAAGGCCTGATCCGGCACTTATGGAAGTCAGTGGAAAAGTTCTCATCAACTTCTGGGTGTATTGGATCAGTCTTAGAGGACTTGCCCAGTAAGTCGGCAGCAGAACAATTAATAGAACCCAGGAGTCCATATGACCAGTCTGCTCTTCTAAGCACTTGCCAGCATTGTGTACGAGTTCTCACCTGTGCGCTTAGGTTGTGATGCCTCTTGTCTGGTCGCTGGTTAGGACTAGTGTCTTGTAAAGCCAGTAGGAAAGGCTGTTACCCACCTTGTTATTTTAGCCATTTCGTGACGACTCAGGGTGTTCAGCACTGAAGAGTCTCCGATCCGTTTCTTGATCCACAGCTCGTATCCTATCCTGGAGTAGAGCACCAGCATGGCGGTGAGTGGGACCAGAAACAGGGCCACCAGGATAAAGATTGCATATGCTCGGCGCAGCTCAATGCTATGCCAGGACTCCAAGCAGCAGACGTGATTAATATTATAGAGAAAATCATATTTCACCTGGGGGGGGGGGGAAATGGGGCAAAGATACAAGTTCAGAGACTTATACAAGATGATCAATGCATGGGATAGGGAGTGGCAGAGAAAATAACCATCAATGTGAACAAGAGTGACACAATACTGATAAGAAATAAAAAAGGGGCGGAGGATGAATCAAACCTAAAAGCAACAAAAAGCCAAAAAGAGAGGAGCATCAGAGACTCCATGTAGTCCTCAAAGTGGTTTTTATTGCAGTGGTTTTTATGTGGAAGATGCTCAGATACCATGGTGATGGGCAGTAGTATAAACCCCTAAGCTAGCTAGGTAGGTAGATAGTACTCCCTGAAATTTGAATTCAAACCAGAAACACCAAGATTTAAAAGACAATTTTCTGTGTATATATGATCTTACCAATGGGCCACTGAGCCTACTAGCCTTTCTCAGGTAGTGGTCAGTACCAGTGCTTCATGGGGAGTGAGAGAGCAAGGCATCTTGGAGAGATCCACACTTGTTTTCCCTTTCTGGCTTCTGGCTGGCAGAGGGTTATGGTCTGTCTGACCATGAGGTTCCATCCCTGGCCATCTTGGCTGACAGACATTGATGGATTTATCATCCATGAACTTATCTAGTTCTTTTTTTGAGCCAAGTTACACTTTTTGGACAGCACAACATGACCTGGCAATGAGTTCCACAAGTTAACTGTGCAGTTTGTGAAATGTACTTCCTCCTGTGCAATTCTATCCCCATTGGAGCCCCTGAGGGAAGCTACTCTGAGAATTGGGTGGAGGCCTTCACCCCGAAGTCCAGAGAGGATGTGCCCAGCTGTGAAATCTCCGTCTATTTAATCACAGATGTCCAGAGGTTTGCTTTGTCAGTTAAGATTTGTTGAAATTAATTTCTTTGGATAACGCTAGTACCTGTGTTTCTGAGAAGGGTTTAATAACAGTTCCCTATTCATTTTCTCCACACCAGTCATGATTTTATAGACCTTTATCTTCTCCTTCCTATCCCCATTGTTGTCTCTTTTCTGAGCTGAGAAGCCCCACTCTTTTTAGTCTCTCCTCCTATAGGAGCCATTTCCTACCCTTGATCATCCTTGTTGTCTTTTCTGAACCTTTTCCATTCGGTCCAACGGTTAATCACACTCACTGTTAAAAAGATATGCCTTATTTCTCATTTGAATGTGTCTGAATTAGCTTTCAGCTGTTGATTCTTGTTCTATCTATGCCGTTCTCTGCTAAAGAACCATATAGTGTTGGTACCTATACACTTGTGACAGGACGGTTGCCCCTCACTGGAGTATAAAGGGTTAAAACAGACCTGAGAGAGGGCGATGGCTAGGATCCAATTGGAAGAGGGCTTGTGGCAACCAATCAGAGCCCAGCAGTGCTTTATGAAAGGTTGGCTGGCCAGGAACAGCTCACTTTTGTTCCAGCCTAGAGGGAGAGGAATGTTTTTTTCCACCAGCCCTTGAATCATTTTCAAGACCAAGTGATTTGCTCAAAGCCATAAGAAGAACCAGAGTTTAGACCCAGGAACCTTGCCTCTCCTGTCCCCCCTGCTCTTAATATGGCTATGTCTAGACTACGGAGATTTTCCCAGGAAAAACTCCACCACATCCAAGGAACACGTCTACTCTTCTGACTTTTTTTGCGGAAGAGCAGACATGCTCTTTCAGAAGCCCCGTATTCTTTGTAAAAGGAGGAAGAAGGGTTCTTCCAAAAAAGGAGGTTTTTCTGAAATTTGGCCCAGTGTAGACAGGGCAAATTCAGAAAAGCCTCTTCCAAAAAAAAAAAAAAAAAAAAAAAAAAATTGGAAAAGGGTATGCAAATTGGGAAGAGCAATTTGCATACCTTTTTTTGACAAAAGTGGCTGTCTAGACATAGCCTATTATATGCCCGCATGCCACCTCTTGCTGAATACACTGAACAAAGTTCTGCCTGCTCCTGCCAGGCCTTTACTCACATACCGCTCGTTGGAAGTTTTGGCTAAAGACTTCTGTAGCTGTTCTATAGTTCTGTCTGGTGTAGAGTTAGATAAAACTCAGACAGGCCTGGCATGTGGCTTATTTTGATGACAATGTAAAGTCAAAAATGAATGACGTGGTTTATTACTCTGCATGCTGTTCTACAAATTGATGTGCCATGGCTAAATTAGCCCCTAATTGCTAGTATACCATCCTTCTAAAGAGGCCAAGGGAACAATGCAAAATGTGGCAGAGAAACTGCAGAGGAAATGGGAGTTAATCACTTATTTCATGCCAGTCCTTGCTGTCTGTCAGCAAATGCAGTGAGTGGAAAATGTAAATACCCTTTTAAAAAAGTGGCTACTGGCAGAAAGGTATTTAAATAAGCACTCAGATCTGTAAAATGAATTCCCTGAGCAGAGAGAAGGTGGGCGAAGTGTTATCTTTTATTGGATCAACTTCTGTTGATGAAAGGGACATGCTTTGGAGCACACAGAAAGCTCTGTTCCTAGCAAGGCAGTTGAAGTGTTGTGTAATTAGTTTACATTTGTAAAGTGCTTTGAAAATGAAAAATGTGACTTCAGTGCTAGGTAATGGTAAAACCGTCTGTTCTCCCCCCAGCTCACCAGCTTCTGTGACTTGGCATTGGTCCATCGGCATAAGCATGGGACAGAGCATGTCTCCAGTGAAGCTGCACAGCTGAGATAGAGTTCTCTCTGTCTGCTGATGGGATTTTTCCCCATTCTGTTTTATGCTTGTAAACATGGGTGGAGCATTGTCTTCCCCAGACTGCCAGTTGGGCTGGCTAGGGCTGCAGTGCGACTGCCCATCTCTTCTGGCTGGTAAGAACTGGACCACGACACAGTTGCCTGGAGACAGCGACTCTGTCCAGCCAGGAAGGATGGGGCCATACCACCCACTGAGAGAGGGGAGGCTAAGAGGTCTAGGGGGAAGTAATCTGGGGTGAGGGCCAGCTGCTGCAGTGGGGGCTGGGCTTGGTTCCATGGGGGAAGGGGGGAGGTTGGGGAAGGAGTGGGGCTTTGGATGGAGGGAGTGGGGCTGGTGCTTACCTTCCCCCGCTAGGCTTTCATGCCTGTGTCCATTTGAGCCACATCTTAGCTCTCTGGTTCATCATCTCTGTGAGAACTCACTAGTTTCACACACTCGCACTTTGAAATGACTTAACTGCATCGGGTCTCTTTCTGGTCTCAGTCAGGCCAGTGTCAACCACTGGCGCTCAGTCTTCCCGGACAAATTTCAGGAGTTGGATTGGTCTTGCGTACCCCCAGGTTTCGCCTCACTTAAAAACTATTTGCTTGCAAAATCAGACATAAAACTACAAACGTGTCACAGCACATTAGAACTTAAGAATGGCCAAACTGGGTCTGTAGGAAATTTTAGTTGGTACTGACTTGGCTAAACCTTTTTACGTAGCCTGTTGTAAAACTCAGCAAATCTCTAGATCAAAGAACTGGAAGAGACCTCGAGAGGTCATCAAGTCCCGTCCCCTGCCTTCACAGCAGGACCATCTACATCATCCCTGATAGGTGTCTGTCTAACCTGTTTTGTGGAATCTCTTCATTGGAGATATTTAAATCTCCATAGGCAATTTATTCCAGTGTTTATCCACCCTGACAGGTGGGCAGGTTTTCCTAATGTCCAACTTAAACCTCCCTTCCTGCAATTTAAGCCCATTGCTTCTTGTCCTATCATCAGAGGTCAAAGAGATCAATTTTTCTCCCTCCTCCTTGTAACACCCTTTAAGGTACTTGAAAGATGCCATCATGTCCTCTCTCAGTCTTCTCTTTTCCAAACTAAACAATTTGGCTACGTCTACACTGGCCCCTTTTCCGGAAGGGGCATGTAAATTTCACTCGTCGTCGTAGGGAAATCCGCGGGGGATTTAAATATCCCCCGCGGCATTTAAATAAAAATGTCCGCCGCTTTTTTCCGGCTTTTAAAAAAGCCGGAAAAGAGCGTCTAGACTGGCCCCGATCCTCCGGAAAAGGGCACTTTTTCCGGAGGATCGGGGCCAGTCTAGACGCTCTTTTCCGGCTTTTTTAAAAGCCGGAAAAAAGCGGCGGACATTTTTATTTAAATGCCGCGGGGGATATTTAAATCCCCCGCGGATTTCCCTACGACGACTAGTGAAATTTACATGCCCCTTCCGGAAAAGGGGCCAGTGTAGACGTAGCCACCCAGTTCTTTCAGTCTTCCCTCATAGTTCATGTTCTCTAGACCTTTAATCATTTTTGTTGCTCTTTGCCACATCTTTCTTGAAATGTGGTGCCCAGAACTGGACACAGTACTCCAACTGAGGCCTAATCAGTGCAGAGAAGAACAGAAGAATTGTATCTTTGGTGTATCCCTGTGTACCCCCAGGGATACGTGCCACCCTAGCTGAACTGTACTAGAGTAACAGAGCAAAGGGACCATGTCGCCAGCTGGCATAGAACAGCGGAGCTCCATTTAAGTCAGTGGGGTGATGTTGATACAACAGGGGATCTGACCTGTTGTCTAAACTGTATGCAATGTGGTGCAGAATGAGATTTTAAATGCTGATATCATCAAGCAAGGCCCTTCTGCTTGACATGTAGGACAGCAGTATACAGTGCTGCTGGGCTCACAGGATATCCACTTCTGCAGAGAGGGAGTTCCCAGTTACATTGTATGCAAACATTCCAGTTAATTGTGCTTAAAGTCACTATCGGCACTGGTGGCTTGGCTGTCCTCCAGCAGAAGCAACATCCTTTGAAACTACCTGCTGATGCTCCCTGGAAAATTTTACTATTCATTCTGGGCCTGCTTCTCCTCTGACACCACTGCAAATGGGGAACAACAACATTGAAACCACTGGGCTTGCTCTGAGGAGTCCTGTGGCACCTTAAAGACTAAGGGTACGTCTACACAGCAACATTATTTCGAAATAACGCAGTCTGCGTCTGCACAGCAGGCAGCTATTTCGAACTAATGTTGAAAAACTGTCAAGCTGGAGGATTTCTTACTCTGACTCCTGTAACCCTCCTTGTCCGAGGAGTAAGGGAAGTCGGAGGAAATAAGGAAGAAATTTTGAAGTAAGTGTTATGTAGATGCTCCCAATTTCGAAATATGATGTTTCAAAATAAGCTAGATAACTGACGTAGCTCAATTTGCATAGCTTATTTCGCATTAAGCCCTGTGAAGTGGGAATTACAGAGGCAGGGATACACGTGTGGGGGTGTATATTAAAAGAAGAGGGTTACTTATCAAGTGTAGGGGCAGTGTTAATTCACTCCCAGCAGTGTGAATACCTAGAGAGGGGAAATTGCCTCTGTAGTGAAAGAACCATTCTAAGTCCTTATTCAGTCCTAATTTGATAGTCATATCCAGCCGAAGCCTGAATGTCTATACTTAGGGGTACCAACAGCCATGCCTGGCCTCTGGCCATAGTGTGGGGGCCCTGGCACCATGCTCCTGGAAGGGGTGGGGCCTCAGGTGAAAGGGGCGGGGCCACAGCAGCCAGCCATCAGCTCCGTCTGGAGTGCACTATGCCACCCCCAGCCCTTAGAGCTGCCCAGAGCCCGCTGCATAGCCACTCCAGTGGCAATTTAAAGAGTCTGGGGAACCGTGCCCTTTGGACTTGCCAAGCCGCTGGAGAGTTGCTCTCTTTGCTCCTCCCCCTCCCCCGTTAGCAGGCCTGTCTCCACTACAACTTCATAACTCTGCAACCCTAGCCCTGCCAGCCTGGAACAGCTGGTCCAGGCAAACCGAGGGGGTTTTCCTGCTGTGAGGACATACCCTAACAATATCACTGGGTGACTGTTTTCAGATGAGTATTCTCTTCCATGAATGGGGGACTGGCATTTACCTCCAGAGTCTGAACATACAGCATGGGCGACCCCACAATGACTGCAATGCTCCATACGAACCCTAGCCCTGCCAGCCTGGAACAGCTGGTCCAGGCAAACCGAGGGGGTTTTCCTGCTGTGAGGACATACCCTAACAATATCACTGGGTGACTGTTTTCAGATGAGTATTCTCTTCCATGAATGGGGGACTGGCATTTACCTCCAGAGTCTGAACATACAGCATGGGCGACCCCACAATGACTGCAATGCTCCATACGAACCCTGACTCTTTCCGTTGCGGCTGTTCCTTTCCCGCAGTTCTCTCAAGGCATGTGTCGGGATCTATTTTTGCTAGGTGAATGGAATTGAATGAAAGAGCAGAGGATCTAGATTTCTAATAACTGAGAGCTTGCAAATTGAGAAACAGCTTGTTTTTTCCCTTTATAAATTATACATACCTTCAGGGCTCACTTAGCCTTTCTGCCTTTTGCTGCAGAGCATTCGTCGCTTGTTGTCAAGGTGAATCAGTCACGGAATAAGAATCTAATCTCAAGCCCTTTGCATCTTTTCTTGCTTTAAAATGAAAGATTTTCCCCATCTCCAGAGCTGATCAACTCCAGATACTATTCTCTTTATACCCTATGTTCAGAGTAAGGAAATTATTCCAAACTAATAACCACACTGGGTTTTCATTCTGCTTCCCTTGCTCGTGCTCAGTAGCATCTTGCCTTGCACTGATTTCAATGGAGCCAGCCTAAAGAAAACTACCGGCCACTGTGTGTAAAGGAGATGAATAATTCATCAGTATAAGAATGTAGGCTATGCTAAGAGCTCTTCATCATGTAAGTGCTCAAAATATGGTTCACATGGGAGTCAGTGGTGCATAGACCTCGCCAGCCCGAAACAGCTGACCTGGGCCAGCGGAGGGTGTTTTATTGCAGTGAGGACAGTACCCTAACAATAACACAGGGTGATGGTTTTCAGATGAGCATTCTCTTCCATGAATGGGGGTGAATTTCAAGTTAATTAATTTTGCTTATGGGGCGAGTCAATGTGTTTGTAGACATGAGCTGTACCATTGGAGATGCCCAATTTCCCCAATAATGTTGGATAACTTTTTTAAAAAGGACAGTAGTTTCTCACTCTATGTTACTCAGCTTTGCTTGGTTTCATCTGTATAATATTCCATATTCTCACATTGAGAAACAGCTGTATGGGTGTGAGGAAATGTTCAGTTAGTTCAAGCAAAGGCTTTTCATTGCCCTCATTGGGCATTGGATCAAATCTTAGACGTCTCCAGTGTGGGTGGCGAATGGGCTTTCTCCTGTCAATTGCACCTGCTGTCCAACTGTTCAAGAAATGCCATTACACTGTGGAGTTTGAGATAAGATGGATGGAGCCTGCCTGGTTCACAGCAGCCTTTTGTGAGGGCCTGTGTTTCCAAGAGTCTGACAGATAATTTAGCCCTCCATGCAGGGGTGAATTTCACCCTGAGAAGGAAATGGAAAACCGTGCAAGCATGCGAGAAGTCCTGAACCGACAAGTTCTTCTTAGAGTGAGCCTGACCTTGCTCTACTGAAGGGAGCTTTGTCATTCATTTCAGAAGGGACAGGATCAAGCATGAATAAAACAAACTGCTGAATTCTGTGCAAAGTAAAGCCAAAAATCACAGTCGATAGCTGCAGTGTGGCGGGGCGATCTTTGGCCTGCTGATGACTGAGTCTTTAAGGACTGGGTGTGGGTGGGTCTGGGAAGCCTTATTCACACCCCCATCTCTCTCTCTCTCTCTCTCTCTCTCTCTCTCAGGCAGGAGGATTCCCTGAGAAGAGCACCCATAACCTGCATTTCCCAGCAAAGACTCCTCACTAGTATTAAGAGCCCAGAGTCTGGAAGAGTGGTGTCAAGGGACCCCCATGAGCAAATGGGGAGTTGCTATTAGTAGGAGTGTAAACAGGAGCAGCCCCAGAAGTATTTGGCTTGACTTTTCCCTGTCTAAAGTCTCCTTCTGTAGCACGTCCCCTTTTAATGAGGCATTAGCTACAGTTTTCTCTTGTCTAGCCCTACCGTGTAATGATCTGTAAAGCGTGTAAAGCGAAAATTTCATTCTCCACAAAAAAAACCAACTTTGTTCTCAATTGGAACAAAACTGAGCATTCAAGCATTTTTTTTGGAATTTTTTTGTCACAGAATTTTTGAAAACGTTCACTTTGGCTGTGTCTAGACTACATGCCTCTGTCGTCAGAGGCATGTAGATTAGACACATAGCCAAAGGCAAATGAAGCCGCGATTTAAATGATCGCGGCTTCATTTACATTTACATGGCTGCTGCGCTGAGCCGACAAACAGCTGATTAGCTGTTTGTCCGCTCAGCGTGCTAGTCTGGACGCTCCCCTGAACCCTCATCCTACGAGGCATAACGGGGAGGTCGATAAAGGGCTTTCAGGTCGGCGCAGGAGCATCCAGACTAGCGCGCTGAGCGGACAAACAGCTGATGAGCTGTTTGTCGGCTCAGCGTGGCAGCCATGTAATTGTAAATGAAGCCGTGATCATTTAAATCGCGGCTTCATTTGCCTTTGCGAAAACAACAAATCTACATGCCTCTGACGACAGAGGCATGTAGTTTAGACGTACCCTTTGAGGCAATCCCACTTTGGGGAACATCCTGTTTCCATAAACTTGAAATGTTTGATATCAATTTTGACTTTAAATGAAAAGAAATTAAAATTTCCAAGTGAAAAATCATCGAGAAAGGAGAAGCCAAAATGGAATATTCTGAGAGAATCAAAACCTCCCATTCTGACATCACAAAAATGCTACGTTCCAGTTCTTTTTCCTTGATGGAATTTCCACAACAGCAAAAACACCAATGGAAAAACCTTCTGTTGGACATTTGTTGACCAGCTCCAAAACCAAGTCCTCTAGAGTCCATCCCAAACATGCGGATCTGTCCACAGATTGTGTCCTGCCAGAGCTTTGTGCAATCTGGTTTGAAATCACCCAAAGATCAGGCACCTATTCTGCATAGACAAGAGTTACAATTAAATTTACCACAAAGTGTCTCTTATCATTGAACCTCCAGGTTTAATGTCTCCATGCAACAGAATACCCTTTCATGATTTGTTTTTAATTTCTTGCGCAGCAAGAAAGAAGCTGCATGAATCAACCATACTAGATATTGATACAGAAGGTGAAGGATGATATGATGCACTGCCCAATGTTTTCCTCCTCAACACTATGAAAACAGCAGAAAATAATGAAACAGAATGTCAGTGAAGATCAGTTTAAGGTGTTAAGTACCTAGTTAAGTGGGAGAAACAGACAAGCTTGTGGGAAGAGTTTACTTGCGTTCTTGCATCAAGGATGTAGCTGATAAATGGATCTAATTAAAATAAAAAATCACACTGGAAATCACACTGGCAGAAACATGGTTTAAATGAGAGCGGAATCTGAGCCTCAGAGTGGACTCAGGCAAATAGTGAGGGATTCAATTGTGGAACATATTGGTGTGATTTTGTGGGAGAACTGACCTCTGTTAGATAGAGTATCTGACCTGGCCAGTGCTGTGTTCAGCCAGACACAAAATGAAACCACCTGCTTTCAGTCTGAAGGACTTGTCTTTGGGCTGAAGGAGAAGGAAACTCAACCCAGAACTGCTCAAAGCCAATGCTCAAGGAAGTCAACGAGCAGGCTCCCTTATTAGCATCCTGGTGATGTGTAAAAGGGAAGTCAAATCCCCCGGAGCCATTGATTCCCCTATAAGAAGCACGTACAACCTATATACATTGCTAATGCTTAGACATATTTGCTATTTGTATAGGAGTGCTGTAAAGGTCAGTGCCTGTCGCAAAAACAACACCTAATAAGGAGACGTTGGTATAGTGGGGAGTGAAACCAGTCTCCTGTTAAGTAACTTGTGGCAGGCTCAGACAGGAAAAAGGGAAGTGTAACTCGCCTATTGTTAAGCAAGTGAATAAATGTAACAAACAACTGCAACCGCAAAGTCTGCAAGTAGGCACTGTATTTAACCTTATTCAGAAAATTAACCTGACCTATAAGAATGCTAAGGGTCAAAATGAAGTAACCTATCGCGCTAAGGCACATAAACCAGGAAGGATGGTAACCCTATAAAACCCCTTGCTTACGCGATGCCGGGGGTCGGTTTTGCTTTGAACATTGAGTTCCTTAGCCGAACCTTGGTTGCAACCAATAAACTTGAGTTGGACCCAGCCTGAAAGTGGGACTCTCTTCTTGGGGTAAATCAGACTAGCCTCCAAGGGGACGAAACCAGCAATTTATGCAACACTGGGGCATGTCCAACATGGGCTGCATTTGAACTTGTCCATGGGCAGCATTCCCAATTCCCATGATTTAGTCAGGAGTTTTGTGATCATTTTTATTTTCCTTAAAGCGCCAGCTGCTGGAGTCATGGGTGACTTCAGCTTTCATTCTTACAAAAGAAAAAATAAGTGTGAAAGCCACGTGGCTCTGGAGGAATAGAATGAATAGAAGGCAAATAAACGGAACCCACGTCTATTACTGGCACATACTCTTATGATTTGGAGTTGGCAATACTGCAGAGGTGCACAGCTCCATGCCCCGTTACCAGTTAGCCTAAGTATTTCCGCAGCCATACCTAGCATTTTGTAGGCTCTCTTGTTTGTGTACTGTCTCTTCATCTTCAGTGGGTGAACTATTCCTTGGTGCCTCTCTACGGCAATACATGTCATGGTAAGAGTGCTGGCCACAACTGCAGTGGTCTGAATGAAGGGGACCATCTTGCACACAAAGGGGCCTAGAAGAGAAAGACACATTTTAGAGTACTGGCTCTTACGGCAAAAATACACCCTAACTCTAAGGCCTGGGAGCAAATTTCAGCAAGCACCACGTTCACATTGGTGGAAGGGGGAGCTCAATTCTAACTCCGATTGTTCTCTGTGCGTGGACTATGGGTTGTCAAATAATTTGATCCAGATTCTTTCCTGAAAAGAGATCTGCTTAGCCCAGGAGAGGAAATGGTTGTAACTAGAGTTAGCCAGATTGAATGCCAAAACGTACTTTGAATGAAAAATTCAGATTTGGTGCCACCAAAACATTTCACAAATTCCTACAGGTTTTGACAAATTGTTTAGACGGGAACAATCAGAACAAATAACACGGTTTGGATTTTTTAGATGGAAATGAATTTCTGTTTCAAAATTTTCTTTATTTTTTTTAAATAAAACTGTTTAAAAACTTCTAAATAATTTTGTCAAAATAAAATGTTTAGTGGGACTCCAATCTTTTTGACTCATGGGTTTGCTTATTTGGAAATAGCTATTTAGGGAGTTATTTGGAAATAAGTTATTTTGAAATAATTTCCTAGTGTAGACATGTCCTGCCCTCTGGGGAAAAAACCTTTTGCAAATGCCTTCACAGCCAGAGTGCTGCCCCCAGGTCTCTACACCAGTCTTCCCTGGAATCTTTTCCATCCATGTGTGGAATAAATATTTTCGTGCACCAAGGTATGTGTGAATAAGCACCACCAGTAAAACCAAAACCTAGTTGTGGGCGCTTTCCTAATAGCTGGGTGGCATTTGAATCTCTCCTGAATGGTTGAACAAGTACCTGGCTTACAGGGAACACTGCTCAACATGAGCCCGGTTCCCAGAACCTGGTGTTGGGATTAATCAGAAACGTGTTCACTCTACTGTGGTATTTTCTGCCTTCCAGGGCTGACAGGGGAGCATGTAAGGTAGAGTAGTCACAAGGCTGCTTTTACTTGCAGCAGGGTGATATGAAATCAAAGATGGCTTAAAAACCACCTTCCTCCATGTCTTTCTAAAATGTCCTCTGACCCTTCCCAATGACAGGAAAGAACAACTTCGTATCGGGAACTAAGGGGACATAATTCATGGACTATGCATCATTCATCGGGGCACCAAAGTCATTATGCTTCTGTCGACAAAGAGCGTCTAGACTACATCCAGTTCTGTCGACAAAGCAAGCCGCTTTGTTGGCATGACAGTGTAGACGCAAAGGACAGCGTAGATGCAAGAATGCATTCTGTTGACAGAACTCTGTCGACAAAAGGAGTTATTCCTTATAGAATGAGGTTTTCAGCCGTCGACAAAACTGCTGAGTTCTGTCGACGTTATGTTGACAGAACTCAGCAGCAGTGTAGACGCAGGTATAGTTTTGTCGACAAAAGTCCACTTTCGTCGACAAAACCCTTTAGTCTAGACACACCCTTGGAGAGGAGGGGAAAGTCTGATCCTGCCAGCCAAAGATGAATGGTGATGTGCAGATGCTGGGTACAATACATCCAGTTTCCCAATGGGATGATAGAACATTGATCAACATCTGCATTGAGTGACTAGTAAATGACTCAACAGCCTCGAGGACCTTGAACATTGCTGATAAGATGGTGGTGGCTTGGCTGGACAGCACTGCATACACCAAATACCACAACAAGGAGTCCCCAGGGTCTTTGGTGGTTCTTTTTTGGACTGACCACCCTACCACTGAATAAATGCCAAAACCCCCCTTACTTGGGTGGGAGCAGAAATGGCCTCTTAGAGTAAGGCTATGTCTAGACTGCAGGCTTCTTTCAGAAGAACCTTTTTTCGGAAGAGATCTTCCAGAAAACCTTCTTCCGAAAGAGAGCATCCACCCGGCAAAAGTGCATCGAAAAAGCGATCTGCTTTTTCAAAAGATAGCGTCCACACTGAATGGACGCTATCTCGCATTTAGGCCGTGATTACTATGGACCGAGTGGCCACCAGGACACTTGTGCGTTTTCCTCTTTCCTCTTCTTTCAAAAGAACTCCCTCTTCCCCGTCCATGCACGACATTTTGCGAAACGCTTCTTCCTCAAAGAATGAGGATTACCAATGCCGGAAAAAAACCCTCTGTTCTTTGGTGTGGTTGGTTGTTGGGTGTGTGGGTTGTTGGGGTTTTTTTGTTTGTTTGTTTTTTGGTGGAAGAACACAATTGCAGTGTGGATGTTCCTCAAGTCTTGCTGGAAAAATGGCTGTTTTTCAGACAAAACACTCTAGCGTAGACATTCCCTTATTTGGGAAACTTTCAGTGTCACCTTATAGACTAACCCAAGTGTTGGAGCATAAGCTTTCATGGGCAAAGACCCATTTCGTCAGATGCATGTCATGCAAGTCATGCATCTGACAAAGTGGGTCTTCGCCCACGAAAGCTTATGCTCCAACACTTCGGTTAGTCTATAAGGTGCCCCAGGACTCCTCACTGCTTTTGCAGATTCAGACTAAAACGGCTACCCCCCTGATACTTTCACAGTGTGTATCATCTATCATGCTATTATTTATTATTTGAATTATGGTTATGCCTAAGGGACAATTGAGACTGGAACTCTATTGTACTAGGCACAAACACAGAATAATAAACACTTCCTGCCCTGAACAGTTTAATTAGTTTTTACCCAACAGGCCTGCCAAGGGGAAGAGAGGGTAGTGGACAATTGCCCCAGGAGCTCTCCCCCCTCCCCGCACATAGCACTTGCCAGAGATGCCTTTCTCATGGTGCCTCGTGCTGGGGTTGAGCACTTGAGCCCGGTGCTGCCTGCAGCTGGGGCTGGGGCAGCCCCATTCCGCCTTGTAGCAGGGACAAATACCAGGGTGAAAAATGAGGGATGGCTGAGGTTGATGATGGGGTGGAAGTTGT